TAATAATAATAATAATATTCCTGCAAAGGATGTCTTTTTCTTCTTAAATTCGTCTTTTAAGCACAGAAAGATTTATAATTCCTCCTAAGTTTACATACCCTTGATTCAATATCATCTTCTTCTTCATCAGGATTATAAGCTTCTGCACACACTAAAAGCAACAAAAATATGAGTTAATTTTCTAATAGTAATATGCTTTTAGCATTTCTCTTCCAGATCAGTATTTAAGTTTAATAATTTTGTTAAACATTCTCTCATTTATCACCCTGAATATCCCAATATAAAGGTATAAAAGTAGTTTGATTGAAATAAGTCAATCAAACAGGCATACACAGAAACAGAAAAAAGATTTTGTGGAAATATATGTTTCCCCTTAAACCTTATTTTCATTGGGCCAAACATGCTCAGCTCCTTGATTCCTTTGTTATATGATGGCATTGCCTTCTAGATCTATCTCCAACTGTCAACTATAATTTACTTGCTTAGGGAGTGCATCAAGACCACTATCCAGCATGTAGAAGCGCAATTTGCCAGCATAGTTGTCTCTGCCAAGTGAGTCAGTCCTCTTGCAACCTGAGACACTGGCAAAGGATTTATTCCCCACCGCACACCTGTCATATGAATACTAACTTTGACAATATTTTTTGAGAAATATCAATCTCATTTCTCTTGGTTCAACTAATGTATGAGAACAAGCACCCAATGTGCAGAAGAAAAACACTTTGTTAAAGCCTCTGATTTGTGTAGATGTTTCCACTGCTTTCATAATTTAAATAAATGCAAATGGCTCTGTCACCTGCTGAGAAATTCATTCTGCTCTCCAGTGACAAGCGGTTCTCAGCTTTTGATTTCCAGGTGTTTTGGACTTCAGTTCCCAGAATTCATGAGAATTGGCCATGACAACGGGAGTTTTTGGGAACTGAAGTCCAAAACATCTAAAACGTCAAGGACTGAAAACTAAACAAACACATAACATATAGGGTAGAGTTATTAAATTGCTAATAGTTAATTTAGTTAATTCACTTTAATTCTACCACAATCTTTCCCCCACCCCCACCCCAACTATGTAGCTGGCTGACATGAGTACCTGGATTGTTTTTTCCCAGCATCGAATGTTGGGGGGGATCAGTTCCTCAGTTCCTTGTTAGGGGGTGGGTACAGGCAGTTGGAATCTACTAAACAGCATTCTCTATTACTGCACAGTTCTAAGAGCGGTCCTTGAAATACATTCCAAGGCTGGCATCCTGTGACAAAGGAATCCCTAACTGCACTGAGCCATCATCTTACTTTACTATATGCCAGCCCACCTGACCCATTTCCATCAAAACAATGGGGGAGAGGGACTTGAGCATCTCTACCCTTTGACCTTTTAGCTCTAATATTAGTTGTGACAGGTAGACATTTGCTCAGTGATTACAGGAATATGTGTTACATATGCGAAGAAGTACAGTACTCTGTTCTTAATCAGCCCATATGATCAGAGTTCAGTCCTAATACTCAAAGAAAATCCAGCACTGAGCTCAAAGCTTCCATGGACTCAAGTCACCCACTCTTATTTACATCTGTAAAACATTGAAAGACATACTGAAAGATTGCCTAAATCACTTCTCACTATTAGAAACAGGATGCCATAAACATGCCATGAACAGAACAAAACAAATGGATCCTGAACTGCAATATTAAACCACTCAGAAAGCTTTTAGCATCACAGGAGTTTGTAACCTCCTGTGGTACCTTCTGTCTGCATGCTAAAAGCTTTGGAAGTGACTAGGGCCTTTTATCCAAGTGGCACTTAAATCAGTTTCAGTTTTTTGCTTCTCCCCAGTCTGTAGTTCAAATGAAAAACCTATATCGTTGAAGTATGCTCTATGTTCCAAAAGAAAAAGAGTTCTAGAGGTGTACAAGAGATAGCCCATTCCAGCAGATCTCGGTTTTGCTTTCTAGCAATACACCTTGTGTCCATTAGTTGTTGAGATTCTGACAAAGTGAAGACAGACACATGCCACAATCATACACTGTACTGTGCTTCCTTAAGAAGTAGGATACTTCGTAGTCCAAACACAGCCATATCCATACTGCTCTTGTCCCCACCCTACGTTTCCTTGCTAATAACAAGAAGATTTGTCGCCAACAGAACATTTGGTCTGATAGTATTCCTGATTTTTAAAGAAAGTATTAGATGAATTATAGACAGAAAAGCTTTACAGATAAATAGTTATTGGCCAAAAGATCCCAAAATGGAACCTCCATGCTCATGATCATTATACCTTAATTTAACTAGACAATGGAGGAACACAACAGAGGATGGCTACTGTGACAAACCCAGACCTACTGGGATATGCCACAGTTTCACTAAGCTGCCACCAACCATTCCCTATAAGAAGTCACACAGACCAGGGATGGATTTTTAACAAATAAAGGAATAAGGTTTATTTAAACAACACACAGGGAAAATAAAATGATCAGGTGAATAAGATACAGTAACGTGGCTTAGTCTCAATCATACATACACTAGTTTGGTTCACACAGAACGCATTTAACTAAAGCACAGACCCTGAACCTATCAGTTCTGGCTAACCCTACAGACACCTGAACCTATCAGGTTGGTACTGACTGACACACAGTAGTACCCTGTCTGACACACAGACTCCCACTCAAGCTTCTTCTCTTAGCTCTTCTCCTTCAGCTCTCTTCTCCACACAGGCTTCACATATATATACAGTACAGCCCCTCCTCCTGATGTCCCGCCTTCCACTCCCCATAGGCTGGAACTTTCCCTCCAAACCCATGACAGACAGGTAACATCAGTGCTGTATGTGATGGCTACCACTATCTCATGGATTTTTACAAGAGTCTGTTTGACTACCATGGGAAAGAAAATGCAGATCCTGATGAAGCATCATATTCCAAACAAGCTCATCTACAATGACTTAACACAGAGATGCAGTTTTGTGTTCTGTTCATTTCGCTTGCATCATACTGTAATGTTTTTTTTTCTAAGAAAAGCAAGGCATGAAGGCAGCCTGGACCAAGAACGAACTGGGGATGGTGACAGGTAAGTTATTATGAAAAGGGAACTTTATGTGGCCAGTACCTCTTGCATTAGAAAGGCACCCAGGGAAGGCAAGGAAATAAGAAGGCAAGATGTGACATCACCGAGGTGAAGGAAGGAAGCAAATGTCAACTTGAGGCAGCCTCTTCAATCAGCATAATGGTAGGACTAGCCTTCTGGTGCCTGTTCTGAATACTTCGCCTTACTTCCAAAATGCCTGCCTTTTGTACCACCCAGTCATTTGGTTTTAATTCAATGAAGTGGCGAAGAATCTCCTTGAGATCCCCTTTCATTCCCCAGCTAACAGCCCATTTCTTTTTTTATATATATGTCATGCTGGCCCAAGTTGTTCCCCCACCCTCCCACTCTTACTGATCCTTGTTTGCTCTCTCTTTTGTAACTGCCCTTAAGTACAGATCTTAAGGATATTCTTCCATTATGGGAATCAGTGTGTAGACGGATTCTCTGTCATACTGTTGTCAGGATTTGTTCCTAACATGTGAACAAGGGATTAAATTTAATATTGTAGAGGGAATGTAAAATCGATGACAAATGCAAAGTCATGCCTGCAAAAGTCAATGTAAAATGGTTGACTGATGACATGCAGCTGGAGGAAACTTAGGTAATGCTTGTTAACCACGTTCAGCTGTTTTGTCTGTTGATAGGCTGCTCCTACTATATAAACAGAAGAGTAGGAACAGCACTTTGCCACTCAGTAGTGAGTCTGGTGGTCTTTACTTTTTTGAATGTCTGTGTTGTGATTTATGCACAAGCTATGTTTATAATGCCATGTACATATGTATGATCTAGGCTGAGTCTGAATATATCATGTTATAAGTTCTTATCAAACTCTGTGTTTTTCCTAAACCCTCCGTGTCTTTATTCCACTTATTAAAAGGGAAGATTTGAAGCTGCCTGATAAGAGACTCAGTTTAACTTGTTATCTTGGGCTCCAAGGTTTCTTTTCACCAACAGAGTGCTCTTGGAATTTCAGTATCCAAACTTCTGGAGAGGCAAACACCACATCCTTGTCTGGAGTTGGCACCCAGCCAACAACTGCTCAGAAAAGCACTGAGGATTCCTTGACTCTCAAGCCGGTCCGTCATCATTCCCAGTATTCTTTTTCTCTCCTACTTTTCTGCCCAGTTCATGTTCCTAGAAAAATTACTGCGTTTAGTGAAGAAGCAAGAGTGGTTTCACATGGAACCCTCCAATTTCCAAAAGCAGCAACTGCTGAATAAATGCAGAAACACTATACAGTATTTGTCTTGGAGGTGGAGGGAGAGAAAACAAATAGCCAGATGGGATTAAGCGTGGTTATCTATTAAAATCAGAGGTGCTAAACCAATAGGCTTTAGTTTTAACTTCAGCCAAAGCCTGATTATTTGAAGCCGTGCACTTGCTTCAAGTGGAGCCATTCCATCTTCTAATCTGAGTAGGGTATTCGGGATACAAGGTGGTGCACCAAATAGTTTTTATGAATTTAAACTGTACTGTCTCAAGAGGGCGGAAGTATACATAGGCTGGAACCATACAGAAGTTGGGCCAGTGCCTTGCCTTGGAAGACATTTAATATAGATTTGTGCCAGTTTTTTCAGCATTTCCAGTGACATGGGCAACATGGGGTCTCCACAGCCCAGTTGTCTGAAGTACTACATCAAAGTATTTATAGATCTTGACCTGTTTGGTACCACACCCATCTATCTGCCATGTGCTTAACAAACCTTTTGGCAAAAATCAAAATTTTGATCTTTTCATAGTTTATTACAAGATGCTCTCTGGAGCAGTATGCTACAAAAGCCTGTACGGCTCTCCTAAGCCGTACTACTATAGCAAAAGATAAAATGACTGTATCATCAGCATTCAGTAGAGCAGGGATTGGCCTGTTTATGAGTCTTAGCAGATGAAAATCAGGGTTTGTTAAGGCTTGAGCCATAGAAATTTTAAAGAAAAATGGGGAGCTAGAATACATCCCTTTTCACACTCTTCCTGAGGGGAACCCTGTGGGTTAAACCTTACTCTGAGATGATTGTTTTTGTGTGCCATATACATGAGCACAAGTAGTCTCCAATCTACAGACAAAGCTTTAAGCTTGGCCC